TATTTTACTGTTTATGTACAAGGCTCACAGAAACATATTACCTTCCAACATTCAGGTAAATTTTGTTAAGAGAGACATTTTTTTTATTACCTTAAGGGGATAGAAATGTTTGTGAAGCCATTTTTTCGTACTTGTGAGAGAAAGAAGTACTTTAATCCAGGGTATAATTTAATCCAGGGCATAGGATTGTGGAACGGTCTGGAAGATGATCTTAAAAACGCCAGATCTATGTATATATTTAAGAAACAGATAAAAGCTAATTTTCTGAAGGTAAATAGGAAAGTGAAATGAGAAGCTATGAGTTGTTGTTTGAGTTGATGTTTTTAGTTTTTATTTGTATTGTTTTGTAAACTGTGTTTCGTTTGAACATACAGTATATTGGGGAGAAAAGGGGCGGACATTATAAGATTTATTCTTCTTCTGCTACCTTTCATTTTATTTAGATTTTTGATTTGTGTATTTTCTTTGTTTTTTATTGTGTATAGTTATTTTTTAATGAAAAGAAAACATTTTTTAATGAAATGAAATGAAATATTTTTCTTTCTTTTTTTTTAGACTTCAGTTTTGGACCTGAAAGAGAAAGCTTCCTCCCTGGCATCCTCAACTCTGAAGAAGGAGAACAGGCTGAAAAGTTTAGAGATCAGCCTGGAGCAGAAGAAAGAGGAGTGTAACAAACTGGACAACCAACTCAAGAAGGTTAGTTGAAATGTATTTATCAAGTCACAGAAACACAAAAATCTGATTCAATCACATTTAACTTTTTTTTTTCTGGGTCCTCGAGCCGTATTCTCGTTTGTTTGCTTCATGTTGTGTGGAGCTGCTTTATCCGAGCTTGGGATAAGTATGACAACTCTATAAGTATAAATAGTTTTTTTAAAGACCATCCATCCACCCACTTTGTCCTTTCAATTAACCTAACAGTCATGTTTTTGGTCTGTGGGCGAAGCCAGAGTGCCCGGAGAGAACCCACACACGCACAGAGAGAACATGCAAACTCTACCCAGAAAGATCACCGAGCCGGGATTTGATACGGCGAGCTTCTTACTGAGAGGCATCAGCTCTAGAAATTGAGCCATTGTGTTTTTTTGAAGAGTTTTTGTTTGTTTGTTTGTGTAAAATATATACAGTATACATAAAAAGAGTTAAAAGACTGAAAGAAACATTACAAAAGTATAAATATAAAAATCCTGTATATACAAACAAACGTTTTGTAGTTTATAAAAAGTTTCAATTAGAACTTAAAAAAGCTAAACTTTTTCTGTTTCTGCTTCTCCAGCTGCTGTTCAAGTAATGGTGTCTGAAAGCTGGGTCTGTTCCTCTGAGGCCTTTTCCAGCTCAAACATCAATGGTTTTCTCACTGTCCCATTGTTGTTTTTGCTCTAAACTTTCTTGCAGAATTCCAACCAGAGACGCTTTGATTGCAGTTTTCTTTAAGTTTTTGTATTTTAAATAGTTCGGCTGATTGTGTTCTCAACTTTTCGGCTGCGAGAGACGCTCCGTGTGAGCAGATGTTTTTTGTAGGACCCAAATTTTATGTCACGGTATATTACGGTATTTTTCTTTTCATCACAAGCCAGCTGATAATAAAATGTACAAATGTTGCTTATTGACTTGTTTTCTTTTACTGTACCTGTGTCTGTGTCGCTGTTTCCCTCCTCTGTGTGTCTTTTCTTCTCCGCCTGGTTGTAGACAGTAGCCACGCATTTTGGTCCGGTCGTGAAGGAGGAGGGTTGAGAAAAGATTATTATTATCGGATCTATTGTTTTATGTTATTTAATAAAGATTAACTGGACAACTCACCTTTCACACCAGTCATCTCAACTCTACTACAAACTACTTCCTCCGGGCTTTTCACAATAGAAGCACTATAAAGTCTCCATGCAAAAATGTCTCCATATTAATTATTATTAATATTATATATTAATTATATTATTATTATTATTATTAACGTCACGTGTTAAATCTAACCGTGCACGTCACCGAAGAGGTGTTTACTACATTCAGCGATGGCGAAAACGGGATGTTTTTTTATGTCCAAAAATATAAGCAGCGGAATCGCCACCCGCCGCCAGTTACTCCAACATTAGCTTGCTAATGCGCTTAGCGGTGCTGCGAGGGAAAAGTGTCCCCCGGGAAACGGTTTACTGGCGGCCACGACGAAACATTCCGAACGTGTTCAGGGTATTTAAAGCGGTATTCATAAAATTCATATCATAACAAAAATAACAAATGGTATTCGGTACGAACCGGTATACCGCCCAGCACTACTCATACGTCCAAAGAGCCAGGGTCAGCACACCGGACCTACTGCCATAGTGTCATTTACCTGAATCATGTGAACGACCCTGCAGGTGGGTCCGCAGGAAGACAGGTACATATTCAGGCTGAGCTCGACCTGGACCCATGGGTCATCTGGCCCCGCTGACGAGTCAATCACATATCATATATAACATGTCAGCTATCTTACATCATATTGTATCATATAATATTGTAACTTGTTTCCATGAGATACAGATGGATCATTGTTTGTTTAAGTGTGTGTGTGTGTGTGTGTGTGTGTGTGTGTGTGTGTGTGTGTGTGTGTGTGTGTGTGTGAGACTACGTGACAAACACTAAGAAAGAGGAATATGTATGAAGGCAGCTGTGGCGTTTCTCTCATCACTTTATTTTGTCTCCTCCTGTTACCCCACAGTGAAGGGAAAACTAGATTTGTGCCATTGTGTCTTATTTGTCTTCCTCCTCCTCCTCCTCCTCCTCCTCCCAGATCTTCTTATATCGTCAGACACCCAAACATTCCCTCTCCACATAAAGACCTGTTAAATTTGCTGTCCACATCCAAAACTAATAGGGTTTACATGTTGTGGGACTGAGGCACACGCACACACACACACTCACACACATTCATAACGTCAGTCTGTCCCAAGAGCAACATTTATTTCTGGGAAACACACACAGATGTTCTAACCTCTAAGCTGGTTATAACCTGCTTTATTTTTTTTTGTTTTGTCCCATTTTTTCTCTTGAACTCATTTTCTGTTCGAGCAGACAAGATCTACTTAAATTTCCTTCTTGAATATAGGAATGGTTTTGTGTTTGTGATAGTTGATACTATATTAGCTGCATTTTTTATTAGTTTATGTGGACAGTAGGTGGGATGATTCGCTACTTTTCTTTTTTGGAGTTAACCCAAAACACAAGTGGTAACAGCCAATCTACCGTAAAAAATACAGAACAGGGCAAAACTTTAGTTTCATGGATATTGACCTACAATTTAGTGTGGTTGTAGCTGAAACTGATCTGTAAGACATTATTTCATTTTTTTTACATTAAATACCATTTTTGTCTTTTTCTGTTTAATATTTCTAAGATCGAAGTCGTATTTAGTTTCTGTAAAACTACACGTTATATTGTACATGTGACCTCTGTGTGACTTTTACCAAATGTATCCAACCCGTTCCCAGCTCACATTATGAAACCGGTTAGTCACCTCGGTTTGAAAGCTAGCGCTAGCGTTTATTTTTCAAACAAATCTTTTCTTCCAGGCTCAGAGCGCAGCGGCGGAGTCGCAGGCCAACGCTGAACTGTCCGAACGCATCGCCTGCCTGGAGCAGGAAGTGAGCCAGTACAAGGAGGATGCCGGGAAGGCCCAGTCCGAGGTGGAGCGGCTTCTGGAGATCCTCAGGGAGATGGAGAACGAAAAGAATGACAAGGAGAAAAAGATCCACGAGCTGGAGAGGTGAGAAATATATATTTCATAAATCAGCCTTTTGCTACGTGGAAGTGGGCTTTCCCTGTTGTTTATGTCTCTTCCTGCTGAAACTAACTTGTTGTCTCTCACCTCTCTCCCTTCTTTTTCCTGCTTCACATTTTTCCTCATCTCAACCCGCGTCAAACTGGATTTGTACGAGTGTGCTTACGCTTGTGTGTGTGTGTGTTCATCACACCCCAGAATTCCCTCAGCCTTCCATCTTCGGCGTTCTCCGCAATCACAAAATCAAGCCCCTCCCCCCGCTGCCTCTCAGCAGCAAATGGGGGGGCTGGTGTGGGACTACCTGGGCACGTGAGTGGCCCCTCCCTCTTGCCGGTCAGCGCGTTGTCTGACCACCTGCACGACAAAACTCACTTTGCTTGTCGAAAGGGAAGGATTTGAGAGCACTGTTATTACAATCTCCCTGTGGAAAAGTCGTTGGAACGAAACGAGCGTTGGTCAGTTTTGAATTCCTTAAAGTTCTGGCCAAATTACAAGTCGTGATGATCCATTATAATTACTGTCTGACATCATCTTACACACATTTTGTCATGCTTTCCGCTTGTTTTCCAGCCTTTTCCACATGGGACAGAACTCGGTTTGCTCACTAATGGTCACCGTCAAAGAGTTGTAGCATTGGCTCGCTTCACTCCAAGCTTATGTTGCACCAGATCCAGTCAGTCCGCTCTCGCAGGTCCAAAGAAAATTGGATTCAGTTTTGCTCTAACGTGCGCTAAATGTGAGCGGAGAGCCTTTCAGTCGTCTGGTGCTGCGGCGCGACGAGCCAAGCAGCTCCTAAAGAGTTTGTAAAATGAGGCACAGCTTGGTGCAGCTGCAGTCGTTCAGCCCCTCGGTTCCTGTCAATGATGCAACTCTTTCATTCTGAGGGTTCTGTTTTCTCGCTTTACTTTTGCTTTATTTTCAGCTGGAGATGCTTGACATGCGAAGTTTAACGCACTTTTTCTTTTACGTTAGGAGTCTGGATTGTTCATTAATTTCCCTTCATTTAACAATAACAAATTGTTTTTTTAACGCCCTTCCTACCTGTCTGTGCCTTGTCAGATCAGTCTTTCTTACACCCTTAATGTCTTCCAGAGAACTCTGTTTCTAACTAATTATCTGTCTTTTCTGTGATTTCTCTCTGTCTGAATCTGTTTGTAGCCTTTGTCTGCCCGCATGACCACAAAACTCTGTTCATTCACCTGTTTGTGTTTGTTCAGGTTTCAGTTTTTGAAAAGATCTCTACAGAAAATCAAAATTCCTGGGTGAATGTGTCCTTTCATGGGTCGTTATGTTGATTTTTTTGCTTCCTTTTTTTAGTTCTAATGAAAAAATTTGAATTTCAAAGAGGATAAAGTTTGTCCTAAAAGACTAGACAGGTCTTTTCAATCTTTCATCTGGCTGCATGCATTTTAGGATTTGATGTCTGAAATAAATTTAGTACAAAAAAGTAAGAGAATCTGAGTTTGAGTTCATTATTTCTTTGTAACAACAGTTATTGGCAATACATTTTTAAAACTAGAAGCACTCGGAGAGTGCACACGTCCGCCAAGACCAATTTCCCCCATCCTGTAAGAGTTAATGTGCAAAAGCAGAGATGGAAACACATTTACCAAATAAGTTTTATCCCCTTGTATGAGTTTGTAATGGTTTGACTCTCTTTATAAAGTGCTTCCTGGCTCCCCCCGTCTCCAAACTTTGAGGCCCGGCAGCTCTCTGTTTACAAGCCTAGTAGTGAGAATCTGTTTTGATTAGTTGTTTTGGAAATGTGGTGTGTTTGAGGAAATGGGAAAAGTAGGTTTCATGGTGCAGTCACACACTTCCTGGTCACAAAACGTTCTGTAAATGCGCATATTATGGCAAAAATTATTCAACATTAAATCTGGTTTTAACATTACTTTTATAAAGTTTGAAGTCCGTGCTGTCCAATCCAGCTCACTTTCTTTACAGAAGCCCTATGAAAGCATCACAGCTTTGCTGATCTCAGAGTGTTAAAAGAAAAAAATTCCTGTAACCGCATCGTGATCTGGAACATCACCAAAATTTAAAGGTGTGTTCCTTGGCCCAGTACCCACATGTGATAAAAATGTCATGACAATCCGCCCACAAGTTTTTGAGTAATGTTGTCGACAGACAGACCGACCGACCGAACGACCGAAAGAAAACATTACCTCGCCGTTGGCAGAGGTAAAAAAACCTTAAATCAGGAATGGGCATTCCTGGTCCACCAAGCCTCTATCCTGCATGCTTTACTTGTTTCCTCTTCAAACACACCTGATTCAGTGACTGAATTACCTCTTCAAGTTCTGCAGAAGCTTAATAATCACCCATTCATTCAGATCAGGTGTGTTGAAGCAGAGAAACAAGTGAAACTTGCAGGATAGCGACCGTCTAGGACCAGGACTGCCCATCCTTGCCTTAAATAGTGCCACAGTTGAGTTTGTGGGTTGTGACCAGGTGGGGTTTGTATTTAAAGTTACAGCACTAAACAAAAAAACAAGACATATTGGCAATTTAACCATTTATCTGTTCATAAAACTGGAGCCTCAGTAGCATGTGGAAGAACCATACACAGCCACAACAATCTGGCACCTCCTCCTCATGCTGCTCATTTTTCAGCCGACGGAGTCGAGCTGGTGTACCAGAAGCTCAGAACTGGTGTCAAGCAGAATAAGCAACACATAAATGCTTTTTCTGAACAAATTTGGCACCATTTATGGTGAAACAGGCTTTCCAATAATATAAGATTTATAGCCAAAAAGCATTGTTACAAAGAAATAATCAAACACAAATTTCCTTCTTTATTGTGCTTTGTTTAGTTCATTCTGCTTGTTTGCATAGTTTTTTTTAAAATATATCTTAATTTTCAATCCAGATTTCTTCATCACAAACAATTTTAACACATTAAATTMATTTCTTTCTCTGTATGTCGATGTGTTTGGCAGTTTGACTGTTATATTTAGGATTTGGTGATAGTAAGAAACCTACTTCTTGCCTGTGTTTTCATCAGTGACAAAAGTAAAATCTCCTATCTTATTTTTTAGTTTGAGAGCAAGCTTCAACATCTWATAAAAGTAGAAATCCTTCATCATCAAACTAAATCAGGTGTCTCTTAACTGAAGGACACCAGACTTGCAGAGAATAAAAGAGGGCTGCAGCTCACTGATTTAAATTAACAGCTTTTAATACTTTTAACGTTTCAGTAGCTTCATTAAAGACAGATTAGGACTCTGATGAAAAAAATACATTACTCCTAAAACAATTGACAATTGGCCTAATCAAAGACTAAATTAAATCAGTCTGCTCCAACCCTTTTCTGTTCTTTAGAAAGTTAACTTTTTTTAATGCAATCAGTAATGTGAAGTTATAGGTTTGCAGAGGTCGTGCAGAATTAAAAAACTTTAATTATCTTTACATGTACTTCTTTTTATCCATACTTTTTGATACAGTCATCATTTTATAGTGTGGCTTAAACTTCAACATTAACAATAAACAGCATGTTTTAGTTTATTTCTCTGCCCCGACACACCTGATTCCTGCCTGTTCATTCAGATCAGCTGAAACAAATAACAATTTAAAACATGCGAGATGGACACTGTTGCTTTGGCTGATCAAATGCAGCAGAAGGAGGAAACAGATGGGAAACTAAAAAGAATAAAGACTTAAAAGTAGCATATAAGGACAGGGAATTTAAAATACAACATGAAGTGATCAAATAGAGTCCCAAGGTCTTGGCAAATGTAGCATTAAAGTAATTTCACACACTCTGTAAAGTCTGAAGGTGGACAGCAACCTTTACATATTGGTGATTAGCAGTGGTGGGCAGCACTAATCTAAAAAATAGTTCCACTAGCCCTAAAGCACTAACTTATGTTTAAGTCCCCTAATTCTAAAGCACTAACACACCAAAAATTTAGCCAAAGCCAATTCTAAAGCACTAAAATAACCCAGTCAACCCATGAACATTTTTCAGTCAACATATTGCTATTTTGCTTTCTTGAGCCTCATCATGAACATTTCACAGCCTTACATGTGTCCTCACAGTTTAGGAAGGTGATTTGTTGAAATAAACCTTTCACTCATGGAAATGATTWAAAAAAATGCAAGAACCCTAAAGCACTAATGAAGAAATTAGTTYCCCTATTAGTGCTTTAGGGGAACTGTACCCACCACTGGTGATTAGTTTGGGTGCTTTGAAGTGGGKTTAGTGGAAAGGTTTTAGAAAAGTTATGCGTTTTTTTTTTCTTTTACACAACTCTAAGCGGCAGCAGCAGATAGCTGTAGCATGGGTTCAAACTTTGATTTGCGTGAATCGCTATGAAACTTTTTCAGAATGTTGTTTTAGGACCACAGCAGTCCATTTTGGTTTTGGTTCCTCTTGAACTAGCCTTTCACTTAAATAAACTCTATTTTCAAAAAATATCTATAACAGGTAAGATATTGTTTATTAACTTTCCATAATACCCCACTTCAAAAGATCAGAGTTACTCCTTTCCTGCTCAAAATTGCAATGACAAATTCAGTTAATTGATGCTTTTTAGTCCTTCAATGCAGACCCTGTAATATTACATGAACAAATAATGTTTTTTTTTTTGTGAAGCCTGTCCAAACCCCCTCTGAGTTATGAGGCTCTGTATGACAGGTTACTAACAAGCACATCAGAGCACACGTGTGCCCGTTCTTAGCTTGGCTCAGCTGAGGCTGAACTCTGGGCTACGAGTGAGGAGCGGGAACATTACTAATAAAAAAAACTTTAGATTGTTTTTTTTTTAAGAAAGAGAGCAAAAAAACAAGCTTCTCTTTCCCCTCGTGTGTAAATCCAGCTGCATAGGTACCAGATTATTTATTTCAGGAACCAGAACGGTAATTGGAGCAGACTTAAGTGACTTCACACTGAGGGGAAATGGAGCTGAAAATCTGCCCTGATGGCCAAAATAAAGGATTTGGATGGAAGAGTGGAAAACGGAGAGCGGGGAGGGAAGTGAAAGGAAGGTGGTAGAGGAAGAAAAAAAAAGGCGACAAGAGAGACATTAAATAAGGGGCGAAGAAGCAGAGGGAAAGTGGTGAGAATGACATAACAAAAGAATCGACAAACCATTTGAAAAAGGCGAAAATGAAAGGCGAGGTCTGGATTTTAAACCTAAGCATTAAAGAATTAAACGAGTTTATTGTTTTATTGTTCAGTAATGGTCAATTTGTCCTTGGCAGGCTGGAATTTAAGCTCTGCCAGATAAAATATATGAAATTGTGTGGGAAAGTTGGAGTCCAGGAAGKGATTTTTTTTTTTTGGTTTTACTGTTTCCAGTTTTAGTATTTTAAGGATTGCACATCAATGCATGCTGTTAGAGTGGAAATTTAAACAAATAATCAACAAAGTTAAGCTTTTTAAAGAAACATCTTAATGTTTTAGTTGAGTTTGGGTCTTTAAAGTGTTTGTTAATGTGCGTCTCATTATTAAAGGGATCCCTGATTAGTTGTAACATTAGACTTTATTTAACAAACGTATATTTTAACTGTAAAATAAAGACTGTAAAAATACTGTAGGATGTTTAGTTTTTATAATTTTTAAACTAAAAGTTTAAAATTATAATTATACGGACGGGGCCATTTTATTTACATGCAAAGCATTCTGGGTAAATGATGATGTGGATAGGTCCTCGGTGCGAGAATGCTAGCGAGCTATATCCACCCTGAAGGTTAATCTTGGACAATATCTGATGATTGACTCTTTTAAATGAAACCAGAGAGAGTTGACAGAGAGGAGAAGGTAGAAATGACTCAGTCTGTAACTGAAAATATGGATGGAGGACCTCAGTTTAGCTTGTTTGTCGCACTAGCACCGAGCTAATACATATAAGGTGATAGCGTCGGTGCTAATGCGCAAAAGCTAACAGGCTGAGGTTCTTCTTCCATGAAGCAGCTCTGTTGTCCTCCATCTATATTTTCAATTACAGGCTGAGTCATTTCTACCTTCTCCTCTCTGTCAACGCTCTCTGGTTTCATTTAAAAGAGTCGATCATCAGATATTGTCCAAGATTAACCTTCAGGGTGGATTTAGCTCGCTAACAGCCTTGCACCGATGACCTACCCATGTCATCATTTACCCAGAATGCTTTGCATGTAAATAAAATGGCTCCGTCCGTGTTAAAATATATTTAAAAAAATGTACAAAACTAAACATCCTACAGTATTTTTACAGTCTTTATTTTACAGTTAAAATATATGTTTATCAAATATAGTCTAATGTTACAACTAATCAGGGATCCCTTTAAAGAAGTGATACCTGTCTGTCTGTCAGCTGTCTGTCTCCAGTTAATGATGCTTCTCTCTCAGCTCCTCTGTCGCTCATATCTCTCCTGTTCTTTGAAGATTGATCAAGCTGGCTAACCTATGCTCAAATCCTCACCTTTTTCCTCTCCTTCTCTCCGTCTTTTATCTCCTTTTTTTTCCTCCACGATGCAACGCCGTCTGCCGCCTCACCCAGTCTTGCCTCAAGGTTAGTGCCGCACGCCTGTCTCTTTCTTCCGCTTCCCGTTCCACATCACTCCCCTCCGTTGTCATGCCGCCCGTCCTTGCGCTCTCATCTCCTTCACTCTGTCATAAACTCCGAGTCTAATTCTCATCATGTCTGTCTCGTCTTTGGAGGAGACACCTTGACTTTCACTTCACTTTCTCTGTCACATCGCCGCCTCTTTGAAGAGGAAACRTTGTTTCTTTCTTTTCACTCTCCATTATAAAACATCCCGCTGGTCTCTCTCTCTCTCTCTGTGCCACGTTAGTGTTTGAGCTTTGATTGCAGCAGTGGTTTAATAAAATTAAACTGAAGCCTGCCTCAGAAAACAAAACCCGCTCGTCAAATTAGGTTATGAACTTGGACAGCTGTGAACTTTTGCACGGAGAACTTTTAACATCTGTTGGGCCTTCTAGGAAACGGCCTCCATTTTTTATTGTTCTTATGCTGTGATTTTTAAACAGTAAACATAACAGAGGAACAATTTAAATCTACAACCAAGTAGCCAGTCAAAAAGTAAAGAGTGARCAACAATAATTAGGCAAGATTAATCTCTTCGTGTCATTGAGCTGCAGCTAGTTTTTGAAGAGTAATCATGAGGAAGTCTTCTGAATGTCTTGTTGTTCGAGTGGCGGAGGTACGACTTTCACACGTTAAAAAAAAGCAGAGTTGTCATGAGCTTCTCCAGCTCGCCTCAAACTCATCTGAATTTTGCCGCAGGCGTCTTCAGCTCATCTTAAGAACACCAGARCTGTGTTCTGACTCCTGCATGGCATTCCTCCTCTGACAGAAAGCTCTAAAAACCACGTTGATGATAAAGCTGATGAGTCCAAATCGGACCAAAGCAGATTAATCAGCTGAGGAGGTTGGGAACGAAACATTGCTCTCGTYCAAGAATACAGTTTTGCGAGCTGTGAACACAAAAATAAGCTGTAAAAYACGTTGGTAACTTGTGAAAGAAATCAAAGTGTTCAAAGTACAAGCTCAAATTATGAGCWGGAAACTGATTCAGAGTTAGATTTGAGTATTTATTTACACATGCAGAGATTACCACAACCTCAGACCTGGGCCAAGTACTTCGGACTTTGTGTCACTGGCAGTTGGCGCTGTTCTTTCACAAAACAGCAGCTTTTAACTGTRTTCTTCAGAACTGAGTCACACCTCCTGGAGATGACATCATCGAAGGAGGGGATATGACATCCCCTATCCAGGTGACCCGATTCAACAACAAGGAAGTCCTACAATCTTAGACTTTAGTGATGTTCGATACTGATACCAAGTAAAATGTGTCTGGTTTCGGTGATACTGATCCGATACTGATATACATACGATACTTTGTGATAACACATATAATGTGTCTGGTAAATCTTAAAAAGTAGTGCTTTTCAAATAACCGCTTTCTAAATAATACATGACATAGTAATTTATTTAATTTAAAAGTCTTTCTAACCCTAACCCTATGTTTGTTTAGCACAATTTTAAAATCTGATTTAGTCTAAAGAAATATAATAATTTTTGACTATTGACTAAAAGTGAAAAAAAAAATTCTGAAAGTTGTTACTTTGTATATTTTGTTGCACTGTTTGTGTGTTTGCAAGAAGGTCCCTGGCCAGAGCTAACGCTGTTTGGGGGTCCATGGCATGAAAAAGATTAGGAACTCCTCGACTAGAATGTAATTACAGTCACTGAGACGAAGCAGATTTTATATTAAAATGGCTTGCCATACTTCTACAGACTGAGTGACTGACTGAACACGTGCTACTGACTCAAGCAGAAGAAACATTAGTTCCCTCCAACCACATATGATTAAGACAAGATTGGAATAGTTTAGTTATTTTCTGCTATTTTCCTGTTAAGGATATACATTATGTGAAATAACTAAAGTATCAAAGTATCGATATTTTGATTTTAGTATCGATTCTAGAAGATAAAGTTCTGGTATCGGTAGTTTCGATATTTCAATATCGATCTGCACATCACTATTAGAYRTAGAAACTTAATGRTTGTGTCTCAATTCAGGGRTTGCAGCCCACGYTGGGCACAGCCTGCGTGGGCTGCAGAAATGAGACGGTCTAGTGTGTATTTGTGTGACCATGTGCTGCCTCCTTACCATGGTGTTACATTTTATCACACGTGGCAATCACAGTGGCTGAAAAAAGCACACGTGTTTGTGTTGTATTTGTGTGTCAGTAGATGGTCCCTAGGAACAGATTGCACATCCATCCATCCATCCATCCATCCATCCATCCATCCATCCATCCATCCATCCATCCATCCATCCATCCATCCATCCATCCATCCATCCATCCATATTGATTATAAAAATATCCCAAACATCTTAAGTAGGCTTACAAAACATTGAAATGTCTTGCAATGGCATCATTTGTAAATATTGTGATGACGACATCTGTACTTCCTACTCTATGTGACCTTTTAGCATTTTTGTCAACATCATTTGTGTCTGGTGTGAGCCTTTGCTGTCCTACTGGATAAATATTGCATTAGCATGAAAAATACAACTTCAAAACTCCATTAGTCAGCAGTTTGCGGTATGAGTATTGCACACACTGATATTGTGGTGACGAAACATTTGCGATATACACTCACCGGCCACTTTATTAGGTACACCACGCTAGTAACGGGTTGGACCCCCTTTTGCCTTCAGAACTGCCTCAGTTCTTCGTGGCATAGATTCAACAAGGTGCTGGAAGCATTCCTCAGAGATTTTGGTCCATATTGACATGATGGCATCACACAGTTGCTGCAGATTTGTCGGCTGCACATCCATGATGCGAATCTCCCGTTCCACCACATCCCAAAGATGCTCTATTGGATTGAGATCTGGTGACTGTGGAGGCCATTTGAGTACAGTGAACTCATTGTCATGTTCAAGAAACCAGTCTGAGATGATTCCAGCTTTATGACATGGCGCATYATCCTGCTGAAAGTAGCCATCAGATGTTGGGTACATTGTGGTCATAAAGGGATGGACATGGTCAGCAACAATACTCARGTAGGCTGTGGCGTTGCAACGATGCTCACTTGGTACCAAGGGGCCCAAAGAGTGCCAAGAAAAGATTCCCCACACCATGACACCACCACCACCAACCTGAACCGTTGATACAAGGCAGGATGGATCCATGCTTTCATGTTGTTGAYGCCAAATTCTGACCCTACCATCCGAATGTCGCAGCAGAAATCGAGACTCATCAGACCAGGCAACGTTTTTCCAATCTTCTCTTGTCCAATTTCGATGAGCTTGTGCAAATTGTAGCCTCAGTTTCCTGTTCTTAGCTGAAAGGAGTGGCACCCGGTGTGGTCTTCTGCTGCTGAAGCCCATCTGCCTCAAAGATCGACGTACTGTGCGTTCAGAGATGCTCTTCTGCCTACCTCGGTTGTAACGGGTGGTTATTTGAGTCACTGTTGCCTTTCTATCAGCTCGAACCAGTCTGCCCATTCTCCTCTGACCTCTGGCATCAACAAGGCATTTCCGCCCACAGGACTGCCGCTCACTGGATGTTTTTTCTTTTTCGGACCATTCTCTGTAAACCCTAGAGATGGTTGTGCGTGAAAATCCCAGTAGATCAGCAGTTTCTGAAATACTCAGACCAGCCCTTCTGACACCAACAACCATGCCACGTTCAAAGGCACTCAGATCACCTTTCTTCCCCATACTGATGCTCRGTTTGAACTGCAGGAGATTGTCTTGACCATGTCTACATGCCTAAATGCACTGAGTTGCCGCCATGTGATTGGCTGATTAGAAATTAAGTGTTAACGAGCAGTTGGACAGGTGTACCTAATAAAGTGGCCGGTGAGTATATTTGGCAGCCCTTATCTCAAACATAAATAAATGTTGGTGAAATGCATTTAAAACTCAATACAAAACAATAAATATCGTCTCACAATTTTCCAGCAACTTTAAGATAAACTTTTTCAACAAGTTTTCCATCAGTCCCTTAACATAGACTAAAAAAATCAATTATCTTTKTTATGTTGATGAGAAATGCTGCCGTATCGATGGCTTTGCACAACATCATGTGAAATAAAAATAAAAACATTGGATTATCAGTTCGGCCTATCTGTACTCTGCATAACGTGTCATTTTCAGTGTAAAAAAATGCTCTTTATAATAAAATCTATTGAAATGTTCTGATCCGAATGTCGTCATCCGTCGCATAATAACCACTTCTTTTTTTCCGTTTTTGCATAAATCTGGTGGTCGGAGCGTTTTGTGTACTCGACAGTGTTCTTAAATCTCAGCAGTAGCACTTCCTCCTTTGATGTTTCCTCCTTTTTTAACTTCTGAAGCCACAGTTCCCCTGGCGGCTTGTCTGCTTTTTATTGCCGGAGTTTCTGGTGTTTTGTGATTCAACTATACAGAGAGAGAAAACAAAAGGGTGGAAAAAAAAGGTTTCATTTCACCGTCTGGTAGATGACAGAAGACCACTTTTTTTTCCTCCTTCTTGTTTTGATCCTGAGCTGAAAAACTCCTCATCCACTGCAAACGTCTGACATCAAGGTTTCTGGAGCTTTAAAGGGGATTGCATTGTTTCTYTTTGTTTTGTGAGTGTGTGTGTGTTTGTGTGTGTGTTATCCGGTCGAGGTCTCAAGCGTTGAGCTGGTGCAAGAATTTGTCAGCAAACGGGTGACAACGATCGCAATCACTCTTCCACAAACCAAGCACACAGTGTTCACATTTTTTGTTTTGTTTTGCACCACAGCACATGAACAGGCAGAGAAGTGTGAACGGCTACCATTATTTTATCCTCATTAAACGCACACACACAAACAAAAACCTCCATAACACACAATTCTTCTAGTGTCAAATGTTAGATAAGCAAAGCTGCAAAACATTTACCACTGGATARTCACTGTTTTTAGTTAAACATAGATAAATATCTTATTTCAGTTTAATATAGATCAGTTCATCAGATAAATTCAAAGCCAATAAACAGATTGTCAGCTTTTAATTAAATTGAATT